TTTAACAAGTCCCCCTGTACATGAGCTTAGAGAGGGCCCCCATGAAATGCTCCTGTCTCGCCAGTAGGGAGATAGAGCAGTAAGCTCTTTACGTCACGCACTGAAAAGGAGTTACCGTGTTCCAAGGTAGAGTACCATGCTATGAAAAAGGGACAACATGATGGAATAGCTGATTTAACTTCTTTTTTTTTAATCCTCGTATCAGATTGGGAATAAGTCAAATGTTTTTATTTTATTTCTTGAATTAATTGCAACACTGCATAAACACATAGCCACTAAGATGTTTGTTTCTTTTCATTAATTTTTTTTTAAAAAAATGGTTGCTTCCCCATTGACTGATTTACCTATAAGAAAGGAGCAACACATTGGGGCATATAGAAGCTACAGCTTAGGGCCTAGAGTAGCGACATATTTAAATTAGGGCATATAGAAGGTACAACTCGGGCCTATAGAAGCTACATATAGAAGATATAGATTAGGGCATATAGAAGTTACAGATTAGGGTCTATAGAAACTACAGATTAGGGCATATAGACGCTTCAGTCCGCATGCCTAACGCTGGCAGTCCCCATAACATAAATATTTATTGTCAAATAGGAATAAAAGTATAAAAATAAATCATGCACCGGTCCCTGGTAAAATTTCGAAACTTGTTCACCAGTCCGCCAAACTTAAACGTTTGAGAACCACTGATCTAGTGGACCTAATAGAACACGTAAACTAGCGGGTCTGATAAGATATGTCATATAGCAGCGGGCCTGATAAGATATGTCATCTAGCAGCGGGTCTGATAAGATATGTCATATAGCAGCGGGCCTGATAAGATATGTCATCTAGCAGCGGGCCTGATAAGATATGTCATCTAGCAGCGGGCCTGATAAGATATGTCATCTAGCAGCGGGCCTGATAAGATATGTCATCTAGCAGCGGGCCTGATAAGATATGGCATCTAGCAGCGGGCCTGATAAGATATGTCATCTAGCAGCGGGCCTGATAAGATATGTCGTCTAGCAGCGGGCCTGATAAGATATGTCATCTAGCAGCGGGCCTGATAAGATATGTCATCTAGCAGCGGGCCTGATAAGATATGTCATCTAGCAGCGGGTCTGATAAGATATGTCATCTAGCAGCGGGCCTGATAAGATATGTCATCTAGCAGGCCTGGTGCAAACCAGTACCTCAGTTGCAAAATTATTGCTGAACTGTTACCAGATCTCTCACAAGCAGTTAATGGATGGCGCATAGTGACCTATAGTTATGATTTATATATATTTAGCCAACCATTTGTTTTTCAATTAATGAAATATGTTCACTATTTGGACGTGTATTGGGCGGTGAGGCTAATATGTCACGTGTGCAAAGGTACAAATTATGTGCTCTTATAAATTAAATCTTCCTCGTTTAAAAAAATAAAAATAAATAAGAATAGTTGCGTCACTGGATATATTAAAACATATTTTACGTGTGGCCCGGTATTGTAATGATGAATAGACTTAGTGTGACTTAGTACTGCCGGCCCAGCAATATGATTTCCATACACCATGGAGTCACGGCATCATTTTTTTGTTAGAATTGTCCATCATTTATAACTGACTGATAAAGTGTAACTGAAAAAGATATATTTTAATAATAGTGTATGTCTCGTACTTTTAATTTTATTGGGCTGGGTAAAAAATTAAGGGTTTGTTGAAAAATAAATTTAACGACATAAGCCATAAGCAGAAGTAGGCCACTACGCTTCATGCTAATACTTTTAACTGCAAAGTGTAATTACTCTAACCATATTTATTTTAAATTCCATATTTAATGTAACTAAGCTAGAACTCTTAACCGGGCGTATCCTTATGTAAAGACTGTCCAATTCCTAATAATTCAAATTAGTGAAAAAAAAAGTTACTAAATATATCTATCGTAATTAGTTTGAAAGTGTAATAAGAGATGGAAAATTTTAAAAAATGATGACATGACTCCATCGTGGATGGAACTCCAATCGCTGGCTTGGGAGTTGTAATGTAATGCAGTCCCCTCAATCACTGGTATCGATCTCCGTAAGTTAAAACTGCATCTTAATAGTAACATAATATATACATTAAAAAGTAAATTATTTATAGTTTTGAATTTTAAACAAACAAACAACAACAACAAAAAAGTAGACTATATTCAAAAAGGGGAAAATAAAATTATTCCATTTTAAAATAATTCTGGATTATGTTCACGTGTAAATATTTTTTGTTGCAAATATATATCAAATTAGTGAACAAAAAAGTTACTAAATATATCTATTATAATTATTTTGAAAGTGTAATAAGAGATGGAAAATTAAAAAAAAAAAGATGACATGACCCCATCGTGGATGGTACTCCAATCGCTGGCTTGGGAGTTCCAAGTGTGTGAACCACTACACTAGCGGGCCACTTGTTCATTTCGAAATATATTTAAATATACCCTATAGTGATCGAACTATAAGTAATTTACTTCTTAATGTGTATCTTTTGTTATACTATAAAGATGCAGGTGCAATTTGCAGCTTTTTAAAAAAATTATGTAAATTATGTAAAACTGCTTCCGTCACTAGGGTGTATTAGATATATTTTATGTGTATAGTATGTGTGGCCAGGTAGAGTAAGGGTTTACACACTTGTTAATCCCAACTTAACTTTAGGAGATCCATCCACAATAGAGTTACCGCATCAAGTGCATCACATTCTTTTTTAATTGCCGATAAATAATACTAAGTGCTAAAGAGTTACAGAAAAATATATATTATTAATTATAGTGCATCCCTCGTACTTTTAATTTTATTGTGCTGTGCCATGGGTTCCAAGAATTTTTTAATTCCTGGCGCCAAATTTAGGTTCCCACCAGGCGCCCCGTGTTAAATTCAAACAAGATCACCTCAAAATAGCAAATAAAATAAAATTAAGGGCTGGTTAAAAAATAAATTTAACGACATAATTATAAGTAGTTCAGTAAGCTTTATACTACTGCTCCTAATGCTGCAAAGTGTGGCTTGACTCTAAGGTGTAGACCTGCTCACTACTCAGTGGAATGTCATCCCCGACGTCATATTCCTCCCTGCGGTTTCGTCAGCAATTGAAGTCAAATGTAACTTTAAAAATTTCTTGTTGGGCTAAGGTTTGCAGAGGTTTAATTCTAATAAAACCTAAATCGTCTTTTTATTAATTCAAGACTTGACAGTTGTGTCATAGTTGCGTATATTAAAGTATATTTTGCCGTGTAATATTTGGCCTGGTAGTGAAATGGTTCACACACTTGGAACTCTCACCCAACCCAAGGATTGGAGTTCCATCCACGATGGAGTCATGACGTCATTTTAATTTTAAATTCCCCATCATTTATTGCAGATACAAAATAATTGTAATAGATATATTTTTTTAACTTTTTGTTCACTAATTTGATATATGTTTGAAACCAAAAATAATTTCCAAGTGAAGATAAACATTTATCTTAAATTATTTTACTTTTACAATGGAATAGTTTTCGGGGACCGCCTCTCTGAGGAGTGCATTGCATAGTTTTCTTTTTTATTAAATACCGGTATAGTGTAGGGCATAATTGTTACGCACTGGCTTCTATTTTTTTGGCTTAAAATTCTAAAATATAAATGATTTGCTTTTTAATGTTTATATTACTATTATGAATAGTGATGCAGCTCTAACTTGCATGCAGAGACTGATGATTTCACGGCGACTATTTTCTAGGCAGAACTGAATGGATGGAGCAGGCTACTGTATTATTTTTTATAATGATTGGCAAGCGGGTTTTTGGGCGGAACACATTGAAAAGTAATAGATACAACGAGGACTCTTATAAATACGCAAGTTGTATAATTCAAGATTAGGACCTTGGCAGTCTTTACCTAAGAATCATGCCCGGTTTAGTGTTCTAGCTTAGTTACATTATAATATAATCGATTTAGTACCATTTACAAGTGGGCTCCTCATATATGGAATTTGATAAGAGATGTTATGAGGAGTTTTTTTTTTATTATTTCTTTTCATTTTCATTTACCGAACTGAGATAATTTCTTTTCATTTACCAAACTGAGAATACTGAGATGATTTCTTTTCATTTACCAAACTGAGAATACTGAGATAATTTCTTTTCATTTTCATTTACCAAACTGAGATAATTTCTTTTCATTTACCAAACTAAGAATACTGAGATGATTTCTTTTCATTTACCAAACTGAGAATACTGAGATAATTTCTTTTCATTTTCATTTACCAAACTGAGATAATTTCTTTTCATTTACCAAACTAAGAATACTGAGATGATTTCTTTTCATTTACCAAACTGAGATGATTTCTTTTCATTTACCAAACTGAGATTGAAACTGCCACAAAAAAACAGACCAAAAATATTATTAATTTTGTACCCCGGAATAAGTATAAGGTTACAATTTTTAAATTTTACTATAATTAACTTCAGACACTTTCTTTAAACTTATAAAGGTCTGAATTTCCAGTTACAGCCCTTAGATTATTAGAAATTACTCAAAGTCAAAGATTTTTAAGTCCCCTTCACAAATAGAATCAGCGAAACTCAGCGCCACAGGAATTGAATCTCTAAAAGTTTGTTGTTATTTTTTAAAAGTTAATTAGAAAATAAATAATTTATTAGGATAGTACAGTGTTTCTTCTCTTAACTCTTTATATTATACATGGTCCTGTTTTTTTTTTATTAATATGAATACAAATTTTAAAGGATAATTATGATGATAAATGTTAGTTTTTAACGCAGTTAAAGAAATGGTTTTATTGTACTAGCCCCATGCATTGGAGTGTAGCCAGCTCTTAAAACAAGTTTCTGTTTGCAGCTCAATATAATTTATTGAGTTTAAATAACTCTGTGATCACGTTTGATAAAGTCAGATGTCACATGGAAGTTAAAATAACTATATTAACTATATTAACAAGTTTGATCAAGTCAGTGGAAGTTAAAATAACTATGTTAACAAGTTTAATTTTGATAAAGTCAGATTGATGTTAAAATCAAGACCCATTTTGGAATTGGATTTTCTATTCTATTGACCTAACAACAGAAAATAATAATTTAATACAAACAAAAAATAGCTGGAAAGCCATAATTTAAGGTTATCAAAACACACATCCCTCAAATGGACATGCATATTTTAAAAACAACTTTTATCCAGCATTTATTTATTGAATGGACAAGCTCTACAACTAAATTCTTGAATAAAGAACTCCTTACAACTCAAAAACTGAACAATAACTTTAAATTTGTTTACATTAATAAAAAATATGTATTCGCTCACAGAGCTCTAAAATAATTTACATAATATAATTTTGTTTCAAATGATCTGTTTTGTTTTGACTTCATAATAATTCCATATTTGGATGGGATCTTTGGATAAATGTTTACAAGTCACAAGTCATTGAAATCAATGGGAATAAATGCTTGCACAATGAAAATAGTAGAGAATAAAAATTATCCCCCCTTAATTTGGACAGTTTTTCTGAATTTGAGATGACATGGTGGGTTGCAAATTGGCTTGATTTTGTCGCTGGGCAAGATTTTGACATCTGGTCATCCAGAGTAACCGAAGCTTCTCTGTCTCTCCCCTCATCGTGTCTGCCTGAACTTTCAGAATAGAGTTTTTTCTTTCTAGGATAGTGGCCCTAACGGCTAAATCATCCTCCCTCTTTTTTCTTGCATCCCTTGATTTTTTTGCAGCCTCATTATTTCTGCGCCTGCGTTCATAGTACTTGTCATCTTTCTGCTCATCTGGAATAGGTTTCTTCTCACTGCGAGGTCGACGATTCTTATCTGAAGTGATTGTACTCAGTGCCCTGGCAAGAGCTGGACTGGCCAGACCTGGTGAAATAAAACATATCTGTCAACTCAGATCACTGAACAGATTATGAAAACAGTTTTGAAATAACACATTTTAAAATTGATTGGTTTAACTTACCCCGTACTTGAAAATAACCATTAATTTTTTTATTTTCTATCGGCAGCCCAATAATTATACCAGTGAGAAGTAGACAAGAAATTATCTAAAAGATGGTGAGAAACGGAGTGAAAATTTATTAACCTCCTGGCTACTTTACTAGATGAGACAATAACATTAAGACCACATCAGCTGAAATAAATCTTTGACATTGAAAAAGGCGGTTCTCTATTGCGACAACAATTAACCTTCTTCTATAAATGAAACCTCTGCTTTACAATTAGTACACCTTGTCAGTTCTTAAAATTAAATTTTCTGCTCCTTAACTATCTGATTGGCTGTGGTATCAACTTTGATATTCCTGCATTGCACATTGCTCCGCTATGATTAGATTTTGATCTGGGGTGGATCAACTGTAACCCACAAGAAATTTATGAACAGTTTAACTAAGAACTATGACTTACAATTTTAATATGCAGGAATATATTGAACTAAACAGTGGAAATTCCCTTTTAAATTCTTTAGTAAAACTTGTCTAGTGGGTAGTGAACTGATATTTTGATCACAAATTCAAAATTCAACATAAAATAAAACCACTAACTTAAGCTCAAACAGTCACATTCCTTGTTGGCTTAAATATTTCAGAGCATTGGAGTTTATATAGATTTCAGGAAATTTTAAAAAAATTACTTTGTTAGTTAGTGTAGTTTTTTAACTAATCAGATATTAGTTGGTGAAGATCACAACATCTTTTTTTTAAAATTATCTATCAACACAAACTTGCCTAGAGCTGGGCATTTGAGACATCAGTATAAGCCAAACAAAACCTTTCACATTTATCTTTAAATTACTGATATGAATATCTCCCAAACATCAGTGCAGGCTAAAAGTTTAAAATTGCAGACTATGAATGGTTAAAGTAAAATTAATAAAAGAAAAAAAAAGAAACTCATACCATGAAACTGTCCACCAGGGGGAAGCCTAAATAAACCAGGTGATTGGGAAGTTGAAAATGCTTGATGATTCTGCTGGTCTGACAAAAGTTGTGGCATCATCTGATTACTGTCCTGATAGTAAAAGTCTGGGTTAACAGTATCTGTTTTTTAAAAAAAGAGAAAGATAATAATAATAGCATTGAGCATTGCATTAAAAACATCAAGTTTAAAAACTAATAATTTTCACAATAATCTGATTTCATTTAATTGTTTGTAAATTAGCTAAGAATCTTGAACATTTCATTGAATTGTTTGTAAATTAGCTAAGAATCTTGAACATTTCATTGAATTGTTTGTAAATTAGCTAAGAATCTTGAACATTTCATTGAAAGCACAGACTTTAATTTATGTTCCCATTTGAAGTTCACTTAACCCTAAAATGAATTAAAAGGAATTTTATCAAAATATCCAATTAGACAAAAAAAAAATATTTTTATCTGAATCTGAGCTTTGTTATTCCTGTAATGTTATTTTTTAAATAAATTGTCAAGGTTGTTTTTGTGCTGCTGTTAGACAAATAAATGTTTACTTTGATGAGTTTCTGATAAAGATATACTGAGAAATTGAAGCTTTACATGTTTTGTAAGTAAAGGTAATTGTGTATGAATATATATTATGGATGTTCTGGTGACTATTTCAACCATAGATTGACTATTTCTTTAATTTATTAAAAAAAAAAAAAAAAAAATCCTTCAGGCTGCTGACAGTTTCCACACAGAGACAGCTGATAGAAAAAGCTGTTTTTCTTGGCCATTATTGGCCAGGGTATCAGTGAAGCTTTTCTTTAATTTATTAAAAAAAAAAAAAAAAAAAATCCTTCAGGCTGCTGACAGTTTCCACACAGAGACAGCTGATAGAAAAAGCTGTTTTTCTTGGCCATTATTGGCCAGGGTATCAGTGAAGCATGAGGACTGGGTTTTTTTATTTCTAAGCTAGTCCCAAGTCAAATGGGGGTATATAAACAAGGATGGCAAACTCTAGCTAACAGGAAGGGGCTGATAAAAAAAAATATATATTTTTTTTAGCAACCTATTTATCTTTCACATTAGGGCATATTATTTTTTTTAATGAGGGTTCCCAAGATATGTACATTTGTTTAGAAAGAGGGGCATTTTTTTTTTTTAGGGGTTGATTTTAAAATATATTTAAATGTAGGAAATGGTAACAAAATGTTCAAAAATCCCTATGAGTATCTCAAAACTATACATAAAAACCCACTGGTACAGTTGTCTGATTCCTTCCCATTCCCAAGGGTATAGAGTGGAGAGCTGCTGTCTGCATAGGATGTGTTGTCAGGATTCATCCTCAGCTGAAATATCATTCATTGTAAAATCAAAACGCTGTAACATCATTTTAATTTATATAGTTATATTAGTAATAAAATGTATTAGATAATACTAGGCCCTGCAAATTTCTAATTTAAACTCATTAAACTAAGACAAGACATATCAAAATCATTGATGAGACCAACCCCAAGACACTGTTGTACGATAGTATTACCGGTATTTATCATATTAAGTCTAATCCAAGACCCAATTCAATTGCTCCATTGCCATTGGTGAATTATGTTTAAAGAAATTTAATCCATTTCCGATTCGACCCTATAATAGGCTATACTGTGTATACTATCACGATCAGACGATCAATATCATGTAATGGAAAGAAAAAAAAGCCCGATGAAGTATTCAAAAGCAACATAGACGTAGGCAACAATAGGTAATAGGCCAAAACCCAGTCTATTAGTATTTGCCTAAACAATGTTTGTCTTGCACGACATTGCCATAAGCTATGTGAGTATGTTCTTGCACGACATTGACATTAGCCATAAGCTATATGTGAGTATGTTAATTTTCTCAGACTCACAAAACGTAGTCACTACAGAGACGATAGAATTTCGAAATTCAGTATTTCGTGTGACTTAGCCTGACTTAGGCGTCTTAGGCTTTTGATGTCTTGGCCTAAAATCGGCCTTATGGAATTTTTAAAATAATAATTCCATAGTGCCCAAATGTACCTATCTATTTCAGTTATAAAAACTGCGGTGCCTCTATTTTCTCTGTTATGGTGTCAGTAGCATGTTTAATACAAAAAACAGGGACAAGACTTACCCACTCGAATGAGCGAACAACAACAACCCTCCTCGCTTGACCTAGGACTATTTACTACAAAGCCATGGGCTTGACCCTTGACTGCTTGACCAACACGGCAGCGTATTACGAAGGCTTCTTTCTACTGACCATGTAATATTGTGCAATAGGACTTGCCCACTTTGCCAGGAGGGGTGTTCAGTTTCCAAGTTCCGTCAACCGGTGAATGAAACACGCAATGTTACTTACAAATATTTACTTACCTGGTGTTTGCTTCTTTTAATTCTTTATGAGGTTATCAAACTCCTCAAATTTTTGGGGGGTAAAATTTAGATTACAATTTTTTTTTTGTAATGAAACTAAGCCATGTCCACAGCAAGTGATATGCGTCACGTGATCTCTTCTGAACCTCAGCACGGACAGTGTGGTCTATATGCCTATGAATGGGTTCAATACATTATATCAACAAAAGAAGAAATAAAAATGTACCAGGTCTTAGTAACAATTTTTTTTTTTTTTAAATTGACGGAATCTGTTGATGACCGACCAGTGATGGAGCATTACATTGAAATCATCAGTCCATAGAACACACTTGCCTTGACTCTTGTGTCATGTCTACGATAAGTTTGGTGAGGCGTAACGTCTGGTCAGCATGCCATAAGGGGCGGAGTTAGTGACCTACTCCAGGCTCTTGTTCTCCATAAGGGAAGGACGCCAGCACAAATTACGCACTCCCCCCCCCTCCCCTTGTCCACACTTGTCCGCGTGTTACGGCGTGTGGCTTACCCACCACCACCCCCCACCCTACCCCCTACCCGGACTGCAGACGTACGCAAGGAGCGCTCAGGAAATTAGTTTGCGAAATGCCATGAAGTATAATAATAACCACGACCAAAGAGTCCCTATATTTGAACTTCTAATCTAATGTTTCTCAAACTGGGGTCCGCGGTCACCTCGGGACAGCAACGCGTTTTCATTGGGACCGTAAAAGGGTCAATTGGATATACATTTTTTGCTATTTGCGATTATTGCCCCTGTTTGATATGTCTCGTGGATGAATCAAATTTAGTGCTTATGAGTATTAGACTTGACATATTCATTTAACTTTGAGAACCGCTAGATCGGTTTAAGTTGTATAGCCACACTTTTTTCTCAGAATCAGCATAAAATATTTATGCCCAATGTGTTCCAAGAAACCTTTCGCATATTATGAAGCATCAACAATCTGAGGAGTCATTTCAGTTAGTATCTATCTCTCAGGTCTCCAATGACTGCCGGCCTTTCAATTATTAGAAACAAAGAGCTAAACATAACGCTAACCAGGGTCACATGACCCACCCTGGGGAAAGTATAAACTAATGACCACTACTAAAAAAAAACAACATTTGCGCTTTGTCCCTATGAATATAAAAAAGGTGGGTTTTTTTTTTTTAAACAGTATTTCTTTGTAAATTTCCCAAATGACAAAAGAAGTAATTTGTTGATAATGAGTTGTAACTTAACAACTGTGCCCACGTCAATGACCCTTACAAGAGAGGACCCACAAGTTGAAGAAGAAACTGAAAGTAGTGACCTGACCATTGCATTACTATCGGTGTCACTCAAATTTGACACTGAAATATCAACACATAATAATTTCGGCTGTGATATGGCAATCATTGATTTTGATTTGGGTCGATGTATTCAGTCAACTGCATCTCAACTTTCAGATGTTTTAAGACACCGTTTACTCTCAAACCCATATCGACAAAAGTAAAAGGGGAAAGTCACACATTTTTCTAGGAAGAAAGTCACAGTACAAAAATCAGCCATCAGATATCATAAATGAATGATGACAAGATTGTGGAACAAATTACTTTGTATATCTTTCTGTCCGACCACACTCCCTTGGTGACAATAAGGAGATTTAGTGTGATTGCAGGTATGTGATTGTACAACAGCTTGGGGGGGGGGGGGAGCACCTTTGGGGAAGAAAAGGATTTTTTTATATTTCTGTGTCCAAAGCCGCGTTCACCACATCACACTCCCTTGGTGACAATAAGGAGATTTAGTGTGATTGCAGGTATGTGATTGTACAACAGCTTGGGGGGGGGGGTAGCACCTTTGGGGAACAAAAGGATTTTTTTATATCTCTGTGTCCAAAGCCGCGTTGACCACATTGAGGCTATCTAATGCTTTGTCTGAGTAGGGTTAACAGTAAACTAGTACTGCAAATGAAATGTCCCTAGCTCTCCATTATTCCTTTACTATGTGAGATGTTTCGTTGAGATAGGACACGAGAATCGAATGAACAATCCCTTACTACCATTTATTGTTATTCATTCTGTAATTCTGTAATAGTCATGTTTAGTGGCTTCATGCATGAAAAAAAAGTCACAGAATAAAATTCACAGAAAAAAGTCACAAAATATGTTTCATATAAACTAATAAGTTTCAGTGTTTATGAAATTATATTTATTTGTAAGTCGATATATATGTTTATTTACTGAAAAACAGTAACTAGTAAATAGCAGTAGCTTATTCGGATCGTGTTTTGATTTTCGTTCGGTATTAAAACATATGCGTTTGTTATCTGTATTATATACATACATTATAATTCACGCATTTAATAATATGATTTATTATTACTCAGTTATCTTCTTCTTCTTCTGTATCTTAAGGGCCCACGATCAATTTATTGATCATTTTGGCTCCTATGCATGTAGATGGGATTTGCAATGTTTCTGTTACTGGTGTTGATGAGGAAATTATGCACTAGGGGTTTGAAGGCTTGAGGCAATAGACACAAATGTGTCTAGTGTTGTCGCCTCAACCGTTCCTTTTGAAAGATTGTTCCAGTCCCTGATTGTCTTGGGGAGGAATGAGCAGCTCCTATACTGGCTTCTTGGTGGTATGAGCCTGAATTGCCTGTCATGGCCTCGTCGCTGTCTATGGGGGAGAGGGACGAGTTTCTGTTTAATACTGGAACAGTGGACCAGCCCATTATTTATCTTGTACATCATGGAGAGCCTGGATTGTCGTCGTCGTTTCTCCAATGGTGACCAGCCTAGTGTTTCTAGCATGCTGCCAACACTAGAGGTATTCCTGTAGCGGTTTGGGACAAAGCGTGCTGCTCGACGCTGGACCGCCTCCAACCTGTCAATGCTCTTCTGGGTAAATGGGTCCCAGACTGAAGATGCATAATCTAAAATCGGACGGATAAAGGCTTTATAGGCTCTTTCCTTCACACAGGAGTTGCCAATCTTTAGATTTCGCCTTAAGAACCCCAAGGCTTGGTTTGCTTGGTTACATACATTGTTAATATGCTCGTCCCAGCGGACCTCTCTTTGAATGGTAACACCCAGGTACTTAACGGAGGAAACTTGCTCAAGAATATGGCCGTGCAGTTCGTATTGGTAGTGTAGAGGAGTACAACTTCTAGAGATTGATGCACGTGTGTGTTATTTGAATTATGTATACAAATTATAAACACACATTTAATTCTATGCTTTATTCAAAATTATTGATATTGTCATGCATGAAGCCGATAAACACGAATAGTACAGATTGATTACAATACATATGGGGGCCCTCCCTAAAGTACGTCACGATATTTTTGACAATTTTTACCCCCCTCCCCCTGTCACAAACTGTCACAAATCTCGGACCCCCCCCCCCCCAAAGTAAGTCACACTTTCGAACAATTTTTTTTCAAAATTAACACCTAATTAAAATTTAATCTAAAACACACTTCACTATTAAACTGTATTAAAACATAAAATTTCCACTTAAAAGAATTATCACATTATTAAAATTACTTTAATAGTAGAATAGTTAACTGTCAACAGTTGTCACAGTTATTCAGTGAAGCAGTAACTCAATCTAGATTGAATTTGAAAAACAAAATTGCAAAAATTATACTAGACAATTATATAATTTACATCATTTATCTGCTGCTTTTTTCATTTACAAAAGGTGAGGTCAAGTTTTAGATAATTTCCGATTATGCAATCTTTTTACACAGGATAAGAAGTAAATTAACGAAACTTGACCTCACCCAGTGATCAAATAATAAAAAGGAAACAAAACAATTTGACTAAAAAAACTAGACTGACAAATTTTGTGACAAACTCTTGTGCTATATTGAATCTGTTTATTATGGGCCTGTGAATTATGTTTAATTAAAAAATATTCATTGGACATCATCCATCCATGGTGAAGTGAAGTGTCATCCATAGTTTCGACTGGCATCAATCTTTCACCATCATCCTTTCCCGGAAGGATAATTGCAGACAGATCAATTTCATCTTCATCTAGCCACTCAACATCATCTGAATGTTCATTTTCTCTTCTGACAATAACTGTTACGAGTTCTCTTTGCCTTCTAGCAGCGATTCTCAAAGGACTGATGCGTTTTATCTGAGTTGATTCTGGAACAGTTTGGGTTGGCACATTCTCCCGAGCTCTGTGTTGTCCTGCATGTTTCTTCGACACTGTTTGTGAGGCAAATTATAAGTGACATACTTTGCAAATTCGATCAAGTAAGCTGGTCTGCAAAGATGGACAATATAGTTGTACTTTGGAAACTCCTGTTGATCTCGGTAAGGCTATACATAAAACAAGGCTTCGCAACAGCATACTAGCGCTCCTAGTGAGAGGATCGTGAACAACACATTCAGGAGATAAGCATTTCATGCTATTTTGACATAAAACTATTTCAAATGTTTCACTAAATTTTTGAAAATTATTTTTAAAGCTAATAAGTTCTACTAAAAAAATAAAAAAATAAATTAGAAATAAAATTAAAAAAAATAAATAAATGTGTGACGTCACACATGGCCTGACCCCCCTCCCCCCTAACCCAAACTTTCACACTTTCTTCCCCCCCCCCCCCCTTCTGGAGCGCGACGTACTCTATGGACGGCCCCTATGGTAGTAAGCGATTGGGTAGAGATTAGGCTCTTGTCCAATAGGATGTCATTTCCCTCTCACGTCTGATCTCCCCGACACATCTCCCATGATAAAGGAATCAAAAGAAAGCAAGCGCTGTGGTAGCCTACTAGTTCACTGATAACTTTATCCAGACAACGCATCAATGGCCTCA